CTGCGTTTCACCGCCTCCAGGAGTTGAGGCCCGTCATGCAAGGAGGCGCGGGGGGCGCACGCAGCGGGCGCTCGCTTGCTAGACTCGGCTTTCGGTGAAGCTGCAGCAGCCGCGCCCAGCCCCCGAGCTTCCGCTGCGCGGTGCCGCCCCGCTCCTTCCCTGCCCCAGGCCCGGCCGCCGTCGGGGCGATGAGGTCACCGGGCCGGCCGCCGACGTCAGCACCGCTGGGGGAGGGCCTGACGTCGGCACCGCTGGCCGCAGCTGCTGGAAAGTGCCCCTTTTCGGGACTTATTTGGAGAAAGCGCGGGGAGGCACCGCCTTCCCTTCCTCCTCCTCCTCCTCCTGCTCCTCTTCCTCCCTCCCTGCCCCCGGCTCCTGCCCAGCCCCGCCGCATTCCTGCGAACGTACGTCCGAGGCCTTCTTCTCGGTCAGCTCCAGCTTCTCCTGCGCGTCCTTCAGGTTCTCCGAGTACTTGTCCAGCTCGTCCTCGGTCCCCTTCAGTTTCTTCTGGAGATGCGTCAGCTCCTCCTCCACCTGGGGACAGAGTGGGGAACGCGTCAGTCGGGGGCCACGTCCCCGGGGCGCGGGAGCTTCCCCCACATTCACAAAAGTCCTCTATCCGGGCCTGTTTCCGCCTCTGTAAACGGGATAGCGAAGCCAAGCACCACTCCATAAACGACACCGTGAATTTCATTTTCACACCCTTTCCTTGTCCTGGGACCCGCTGTGCTTATCTGTTGTAGGGTTCCCCAATACTCGGGGAATCGAGTACAGCTTTGGAGAAACTTGAGTCCTGACACAGTTTCTCGGAAATACACATTCAGTTTTGCATCCCAGTTTCAGGGATGCAACCTCCCGGCGATCTGGGTTAAAGCGAAAGGAGAAGTCTCGCCCTAGCCAGTTTGGCTCAGTGGATAGAGCATCATCCAGCAGACTGAAGGGTCCCAGGTTCGATTCCGGTCAAGGGCACATGCCCAGGTTGCGGGCTCGATCCCCAGTAGGGGGCGTGCAGGAGACAGCCAATCAATTGTTCCCTCTCACCACTGATGTTTCTATCTCTCTCTCCCTCTCCCTTCCTCTCCGAAAGCAATAAAAATATATATTTAAAAAGGGAGGGAGTCTCATGGACCATCCCTACTTCCAGCTGACCCCCCTCTAGTTCTGCACCACCACCTCAAGCCAGAGAACCTTTCTAAGTGTATGTTTGTCCTCCCCCTGCCTAGAACCTGTCATGGCTCCCCATTGCCCAAGAGAGTGGTATTCACACTATCTCACAAAAATGAAAGGTTTAAGGGCTCAGACGGCCCCCATTCCTGGACTTTGGGGGCTTGGCTAGAAGAGAGCTACCCTTCAGAAACCACTTTCTTCTGAGGCTCAGATTAAATATTTTAAATTCTTGCACATGTGGCTTTAATCTTAATAAAAACGCTCCCTACATTTCCCAAATTTTGAGTCATCTTTGTTTATCCTTTGTTTAGTCTTGGCCTCCTCCCTACACCCACTTTGAGAAGCTCAGGTCCGTGGCAGACAAACCACATACCCTTCACCTCCCCATTTCTATTGTCCAGCCCATCAGTGAGGGTCAGCTCAGGAAAACCCCAGGTTGCACCTCCCCCTGCCCCTAATTCTGGGCTGAGGTGTTAGTTCAAGTCATGCTTGGGCCAGACTTGTGACTTGGGTAGTTTGACTCCTGATCCTGTCCATGCTCCCAGCAGCCCTCTCGGGCTCCCTTCATCCTCCTGCCTCCTCTTCACTTCCTCTTCACTAGAGTAACTTTCCCAGGTCACACAGCAGAGGAACCGCATCCCTTCTAACCGGTCCTCACGCCAGGCCTGCTTTCCTGCATCCCTCTCTGACTTCCTTCTCTTCCTTCCGGAAGAGGGTATGTTACAAGCTGCTGTTCCTGCAGCTTTTAGATCAAGCTGGGAATCTGATCTGGGTTACATGTTCACTAGTGAGATGTGCAAAGTATGGGAATGTGTGTGTGCGTGCACACAAATTCTTAAAAGGGCCCCTGTCCCCAGGTGATATCACCTAGCCTCCCATCCCGGAACCCCCAAGTGTCCCACGCTGAGGTGGAAATGGTGCAGGGGTGCAGCGGTTCTCAACCTGTGGGTCACGACCCCTTTGGTGGTCGAACGACCCTTTTACAGGAGTCGCCTAAGACCATCCTGCATATCAGATATTTACATGACGATTCATAACAGTAGCAACATTACAGTTATGAAGTAGCAACGAAAATAATTTTATGGTTGGGTCACAACATGAGGAACTGTATTTAAAGGGCCAGAAGGTTGAGAACCACTGGAGAGGATCGGAGGAGGGGGAGGGTGGCAGCAGCTCAGGCCTAAATCAGGATCTATGGGCCCTGACCTTGACCTCCAGGTAAGGAGCTCAGAAGCCTGACTCCAAGCCCCAGCTGTATCCCTTTTTTAACCTCAGTTTCTTCTGCAAAACCGAAGCCTTGACATGGTGGTCTCCGAGTACCCATCCAGCTACAGAGATGATTGGGTTTTGATGGCCTTTTCTGGCAAAATGTGTACAACGGGTGGGGAGTGGGATAAAGTGGGCAGAGGGCTATGAAGCAATTAGAATGTGTCAGGCCCATGTTATAGAAGGGTAAACTGAGGCCCCGAGGGAGGAAGGGACTTGCCCCAGGCCATACAGATAGGGGATTTGAACCTTGGAGTCAGACGGACTCCAAGTTGGTTCGCTTGACCACTAGATTATGCTTTGCCCACTGTCCAGCACACCCTTCTCCCACTGACCTTCCAACCCAGCGCCAAAGCCCACTCTGCTGGGTGGTGTGCCTTGCTGTGCTGGACGGAGCCCTTGTCACCCCCTTGGGCCCTCCAGTCCCTGTCCCTCCCTGGTCTAGCCCAACCCTGGAGGCAGGGAACCTCCCTCTATGTTTGGCTCCATCTCCCCTAGCCTGGGGCTCCTTGGGAGCCAGGCCTGGGCCTAAGGTCACTCTGGGCCCCAGCATCACCCCAGCACTGGCTGGGCCCTCACCACCGACCCCTGGAGGAAGTTCTCCGAATGAATCAATGACGCAACCCCAGCCCCTTTAATGGCTGGAGTTGGTGTGAAAAATAAATAAGACCGACACTAATCAGTTCCTTTCTTTCCCTCTGAATTCCACACATGAAGCATGTGCAGGTGGTGGCACCTTGCTGCTGGGCGGAGCCTTGCCCTGGCTCTGGGGGGTCTCGGATAAGTCACTTCCTCCTGTTTCCCTGCCTGTAAATCAGCTGGGAGGGTCATGGACTACACACCTTAGTCCCCATAGTGGGGCTTCGGACAGGGCCGAGGCAGGATGTGGGGTCAAAGGCCCAGTTGTGGCGGATGTCACTGCCCTGGGAGAGACGTGGGCAGGAAGCAGGCGGGCAGGACCTCTTGGTCCCATTCCCACACTCAGCAGGCGGGGTGGGGGTGGGGTTAGAGGGGCCTGGAATCTGGACTTCCCTGCAGGGTCCTCAGGGCTTCCTCTGAAGCATGGGGCACTCTGGGTAAGTTGAGTCCCTTGTCGGCCCCCTGCCTCTGTTCCCAGGCAGGACTGCCCATTGGCGCCATGGGGCTCTGGCTTTTGCTTTGGGCCTCTCGGGTCTTGGGTTTCATGCCGGGCCATCGGAAGCATCATTTGCCCCCATTTCTCAGGTGAAAACACTGAGGGCTCAGAGGGGCTCAGCAACGTGCCCTGAGTCACAAAGCCAGATGATCGGGTCTGGATCTGAGCACCGTCCACCCGAGTGGGAGGCTTTGTAGGGGTGGGGTTGGGGGGAACAGAATGAAAATCTAGCTGGAGGCCAGAGAACCTGTCCCTGCCCCCTTGGCCACACAGCTGCCTGGAGACTTTGAGGAGCCTTCCCTTTTGAACTTGTGTCTGCCTTGGTGGAGTATAGTATATCAGTCACTCACACCTTAGTGAAAATTAGAGCCATCAAGTTGCTTTTCTCTGCTAAGCTCCTCATGGTGAGGGCTGCACCATCTACCATCTATGGAAGCAGGCAGCTCAGGGCCAGCACAGGATGGGCGGCTGTGTTTGTCAAGGAGGGGCCCAGGGCGGGGAGGGCTGAGGTGGAGCTGCCCTATACAGATGTGTCACAGCCCCAGGAAGTAGGGAGGGGCAGGAAACAACCTCGCATTTATTGAGGGCCTACTCTGTGCCCGGTGCAGTGACAGGGAACCTACCTGCATAGTCACCTCTAATCCTCTCACGGCTACGAGGGAGGTACCACGGTCACTTCCCCATTTCACACTTGAGGCCACTAAGGCACAGAGAGAGGAAAGCCATTTGCTCCAGGTGCTCAGTGACCAAGCTTCCGACAGGCCAGTCTGGGCTCAGAGCCTGTGCTTTGACCTGCCAAGCTGGCCTGGCGCCCGGGCTGGGCAGAGCTGGCACTTGGTGTCACTGTCCTGGGCAGTTCTTGGGGCTTATTTGAGACCCTGATGCTCCTGAGGACTTGGCCATTGACTCAGGGGATGTGGATGAGCCCTGTGGGGGGCAGGGCCCTATGGGAGGGGCAGGACCCCCGCCCCTCCTCTCACTGGCTGCTCTGGCCACCTAGGCCCCGACAACTGATTTCTGCTCTGGACGGCCCAGCCCAGCCCAGCCTCTGCCATTGCTCCTCTGGTAGCTTCCTGATGTAGCCTTATTGCCGGAGCCTCCTGGGACTCTTGTCCCCGAAGCCCTGCCTTGCCCTGCCAGGTTCACAGCAGGGGCAGCAGGGGCACCCAGCTAAGCAGAGCCTCATGGAGAGTCTCATACCTCCACTCCCCACCCCCCATCCCCGTCTCCCCACCTCAGATGGGGAAGTTGACCTCTGGGGACTTGGGTTCCTGCCCGGCCATCCGGAGGCGCCCTTGGCCTCACCAGCCGGCCCTGCAGCCAGGCACTAACCCCACCACACACCACACTTGGCCACCCTCCCAGGGCGGTCACCAAAGTGGACCCACAGGCTCACAGTCACAGGGCACAGGTCACCCCTCCCCCACAGCTTTGCATTGCCCCCCTCACCTCAACAGGCACGCGTGCGCGTACACACACACACACACACACACACACACACACACACACACAGTAGCCCGGCAAGCACACCCACAGGCCAGCCCCAATAGAGTCACCTCAGCACTCACTCGCTCTGACACTCGCACATTCCATTAGTCAGGCCACCTTTTGCACAAGCGCATGCGCAGCCAGCCTCTCCCCCCTACACACAGCCCCACACTGATACCACCATTCACACACATCCACACTCTCTCACACCCACTTCCAACAGCCACACGCTCATACCTCTCTGCACACCCTCATTTTCACAGCCACCCTCATCCCTCCACACTCTCTCCAGTGGAAACGCACACACACACACACACACACACACACACACGTATACACACAGACATGCTCAAACACACACAAATACACTTACACACAGCGTCCCCTGTATCTCTTTGTCTCTCTCCCTCTATTTCTTCAGGTTCCTCTCTCCCTCTCTCTCCCCACCCTATCCAGTACACATACACCCACCTGACACGCTCACCCCGACACACCTACACTCACTCTTACGTTTGCACACACACATCCAGTACAAACAGACGCCCCTGCTTACTTGCTTGGCTCCGGCTGGTCCTGTTGGGTGGGTCCTGTCACCTCTCTCTCAGCCCGGGGACCCCCCTCCCGGGAAGACAACGATCCCCTCACTCTTCCTTGGCTGAAGCATCACCCCCTGTCCCCTTCCTAACCTCCAGGTACCAAGGTTTCTGAGAGCCCCACCCTCAGCCCAGAGCTTCGCCGGCTCAGAGAGGGCACTGGGCCGCCTGGCGCGGCCCAGCGGCCGGGCCCCACCTGCTTGCACTTCTCCTCTGCAGCTTTCTTATCTGACTCGGCCTGCTCGGCGCGGTCGATGGCATTCTCCTTGTCCAGTTTGAGCATCTGCATCTTCTTCTTGATGGCCTCCATGGCTGGGCGGAGAGGGCGCAGGTGGCGGGTCTGTGGCGGGATCGGTGGCTGGGCTCAGTGAACAGCAGGGTGGAGTGGAGGCCCTTATAGCCTCCCAGGGTGTGCCGCCCTGCTGGGGCGAGTCTTGGAGGAGGCCCAAGCCCAGGCTGGCCGGGCCAGCCGCCACTCGCTCGCTCAGGAGAACTTGGCCAGCGCACCAGGCACCCGCAGCCTGTACCTTATTTGGGCCTAGGATTTTCTCAAAGGAAAAAAAAAAAAAAGGCCGAACCCATTTCCATTTTTAACCTGGTGACACTGGTCCCACATGAACCTGGGGCCACAGTGCTGGCCCAGGGCGATCCCCTGTGGCCTGCTGGTTGGCCTCAATTTCCACACCTGTGGTTGGGAGGGCCGAGGAGGACTGGTGGGTGGGTACAGAGTGGGCCGGGGAGGCTCCTGTCCTCCCTCCTCCTCCCCTCCTGGCACTGCCTCCAGGAATTGGGGTCAGGCCCCCATCCCATCTCCTGCTACCACCCCAGGGGGTCCTCCCACCTCTTCCTGGAGGGTCTTCGTCTCATCATCTTCTCCCTCTGTCTCTGTTTTGGTGACTGTTTCTCATCATTTCTCTGTCGCTGTCTCTCTTTTTGTCTGTGTCTCTCTCCATCTCTCTGTCTCTGTCTCTCTGTATCTCTCATTTTGTCACTCTGTCTGTCTCCATTTCCCTCCCTCTGTCTCCCTATCTCCGATTCTCTCTGTAACTCGTTGTCTCTCTATTTCTTCAGGCTCCTCTCTCTGTCTCCCTCTCTCTGTCTGTCTCCTTTGTCTCCCTCGCCCTCTGTCATCTCCCCTGGCCCCATGGAACTGGCTCACCAGGGTGAGACTGACCTGGGCTGTCCTTCTCTCAGAAACTTGGAGGCCCCGGCAGGCCCCGGCCAGACCTTGATGCCCTCCCTGCCCAGCTCTGCAGCCCCCCCAGGAACAGGAGGCCTAGCCCCTCAGCCTCTCACTCAACACTCCTGCCCACCCCCACCCACCCTACCTACACCCAGCTCTCCCAGCTCAGCGCTCAGAGCTCCCAGGCAGGGCTGCCATTTCCTCCTCCCGGGCCTCTGCACCTGTGGCCCCCGCTGCCCACTGTGCTCCCCTCTCTCCTCCATCAACCGGGGCAGGACTCGCTGCCTTTGTTTCATTCTATTTAAATATATTTGTTATTGATTTCAGAGAGGAAGGGAGAGGGAGAGAGAGAAACCTCAATGATGAGAGGAAATCATTGATTGGCTGCCTCCTGCACACCCCCCACTGGGGACTGAGCCTGTAACCCCGGCATGTGCCCTGACCGGGAATCGAACCGTGACCTCCTAGTTCATAGGTCAATGCTCAAGCACCGGCTGGGCGGATTCGCTGCCTTTAGAAAGAATTGTTTGCTCATTCATTCACTTGACAAACAGAGCGCCCCTCGCAGGCTGAGGCCTCGCGCACATACTCGGAACGTGGGAGCTATTGCTCTTACGGTTATTATTCGATCATCACGTTCAGACTGAGCTGCTTTGCGGCAGGCCTGGGCCTTGGTCTTGTCTGTGGGCCCCTGAGTGCCTGGGACCCGATGAGCCTCGTTAATTAAAATGAACAACCCCCTCTCTACACTCACACACTCTCTCACACACAGTTCTTTAACCAGGAAACTCCTATTCATCCTTCAAAACCCAGACCAGATGGCTCTTCTTCCAGGAAGCCTTCCTGAACAGAGCCCTGAACCAACACTTCCATGTGGTATGGAGGCTTCTGGGTTTCCTGCCCAAGGCCACAGAGGGAGTGGGGTAACGAGAGAGACTGGGCAGCAGTCAGCACCACTGAGGAGTCGGGGAGGGGGGGGAGCGGGGGAGGCCAAGATCCAGAGTTTTTGGCTCCCCTGTGCCCCATCCTGGCTCCTTCACTGCCCCTTAAGCTATTAGCCCTTCTCTTTGTCATGGTTAGGACTCCCCCACTCAAAGGCATTGGGGCCATAATAGTAGCAAACAGAACATTCTGGAATCTCTTATGCTCTGAGGACATTGGTTCATCCCTCCCCCACCCTCTGTTCCCCCCTTTTCCTGGCAGCACAGAGTACAGAGTAGACCATGGAATACGGTTCACTGGTGCCCACCGTGTGTCGAACACGGCTCTGAGCACTCGACTGGCAGCATCTCACTCCAGCCTCCCTGAGCCCTGAGCAGGGGGCTGTTTTTATTCTCATTTTATAGAGGAGGAAGCTGAGGTCCAGGGTGGCACCCCGGGGTCACCCAGCTTGTGAGTGGCAGAGCTGGACCCTGACCTAGCTGACCCTAGAACAGAGCTGGAGAGGGGTCCTAACCCCCCCGCCCCGATTCCCTGACTGTCTCAGCTGAGTCATTGGAAGTCAGCTCCCCCCTGCTGGCCCCGGGAGACCCTGAGACTGGCTCACCGCAGGTGGGTGGCTAATTCTAGGTCTGACACCACCAGCTTGAAAAGGGATCTCTCCCCCAGGAGGCGCCTGCTCGCTCCATGGCCTTGTAGGGCAGACCCCGGTCCCTGCACTGGCCTCTTGCTCAGGGAGCTCCCACAGGTGGAATCTGATGCCTGGGGGGGAGAGGGGACCTAGGCATGTCTTAGAGCCAGTGGTGCCATCCCTCCCGCCCTGCAGCCTTGGGACTGGAGTTATGTCCTCTCCATGTACCTGCCTCATGGACATCGCAGGAGCCCTGGCCAGACCTGAAGGGTCATCTGGGGTTCCTGGCCCCTGGGGGCCCTGGCCCAGCTGTCCAGGCTGTGTGGCCTGGGGCACCGGGCAGTGGAGGCTGCCATTTATAGCTTGGGAGGAGTAAGCTCCCCTCCTGCCCGGTGACTCTCTCCAACTGGGGGCTTCTGAGGACCCGAGTTGGGGCAGAGCTCCCGTTACCACCTGGCCCCCAGAGCTAGGAGACTTGGGGTCCTTTATTGAGCATCTACTACATGCCAGGCACTGAAGACACAAGCGTGGACATAACTCAGGCCAGTGGGAGACACGCCCAATGCCCGCAAACAAATATGACCTGCATAGGGATAGGGCGAAGTGCTGTCTGAGCTTGGGCTCCCCCAGAGGCGACCCCGAGACCAGAATTCGGGGAAAGTAATTTATTTGGGAGGTAGCCCAAGGAGACACGGATCCGGGCGTGGACGGTGAGACAGGGAAGGGAAGGCGCCAGTCACTGCAGTGACGAAACCAGCTGTTACCAGGCTGGACCACTGGGCGCAGTGCCGCCGGGACCTCTGGGAGGCAGCAGAGAGCACCCCCTTCGGAGTCGGCAGAGCTGAAGGGCGGGGAGCGGGCTACTTATCCACCAATCCCCATCCTCGTTCCTTAATGGCTGCTCCCCGGTTGGGTGGCCCGGGAAGGGGAGGCTGCTGATTCGCTAGCACTTCTGGCCAGCCTTTGCTTGGGCCACGCCCTCTTCAGCAGCTGGCGAAAGACCAGCACTCCGAAACATGCAGTTGCTGGAAGAAGGAATCCCTGGGTAGGAGTGGGGTGCGGTGGGGAGAGTGGGAGAGGGTCCAATAAAAATGTTAATGGAGCCTGGCCGGTGTGTCTCAGTGGTTAGAGCCTCGGCCCGCGCACTGAAGGGCCATGGGTTTGATTCCTGATCAAGGGCATGTACCTGGGTTGCAGGTTTGATCCCAGATCAGGTTGGGGTGTGTGCAGGAGGCAACCAATAGATGTCTCTCTCTCTCTCTGTCTTCTCTCTTCTTTCTCTCTCTCCGCTCCCTTTCACTCTCTAAAAATCAATGGGAAAAGTATCCTTGGGTGAAGATTACTAACAACAAAAAAATGTTAATGGAATATCTAACAGGGAGACCTGATGAGCCTTGGGTGGAAGTCAGGGAAGTCTTCCCTGAGGAGGTGGCGATTGAGGCGAGGTCAGGAGGAGGACTGAAAGGTGAGATGGGGGCGGTGGAGATGGTGTTGCATATTCGAAGCCCACGGGTGGGAGGGCTGGGTGTACCTTGGATGAGAGGACAGAGGACAGTATGGGGGTGCCCCCCATGGCTCTCCTGGAGTTTGAGGCATGCAGAGAGACAGTGGGGCCAGGGCAAACGCACTGAGCACTGGAGAAAAAGAGCAAAGATGGTCTCAGCTTGCACTTACGGAGTCTTGCTCATTGAATAATAATATGACGATGATAATCAAAATGGCACTGGCCAAGGATGGCCCAGAGTGTGTGCTGGACAGGTCACGTGGGGCGAGTGTGGGTGGGGAGTGTGGGGGGCTCACTCTCCCTTCACCCAGACCTTGTGCAGTAAGTACTTGGGGTTCCCAGCTGGCACGTGACAAAGGCAGGGTTCGAACCTGAGTCTGTTTGATTCCTTGGAACCTGCAAACACCCAGCTCCGGCGCTGCAGCCCCGTGTGTTGAGTCCGTGTGGGGAGCAGGGAGCAGAGAGCCCTGGTGCTCTCCCCGAGTTCTCTGAGGCAGATTCCAAGGGAGCTGCGTGGGCTACACAGCCTGCCCACAAATGTGGGAGAGCAGGCATGACCACACGCTTCGCAGCATCGTCATGATAATTAATAATAATTACAGTTAACACTGACATGGCCCTCCATCTGCCAGTGCTGTTCCAAATGCCTTGCATATATAAGCCCATATATTAATTTTCACAATAACCCTATGGTTACTGGGGCTATTGTTCTTTTTAAAAAATATATATTTTTAATTGATTTCAGAGAGGAAGGGAGAGGGAGAGAGAGAGAGAGGAATATCAATGATGAGAGAGAATCATTGATCGGCTGCCTCCTGCATGCCCTTGACCGGAATGGAACCTGGGACCCTTCAGTCCGCAGGGTGACAACACTCTATCCACTGAGCAAAATCGGCTAGGTCCTAGCCCCTAGGACAGTGATGGCGAACCTATGACACGCGTGTCAGAGGTGACACGCGAACTCATTCTTTTGGTTGATTTTTCTTTGTTAAATGGCATTTAAATATATAAAATAAATATCAAAAATATAAGTCTTTGTTTTACTATGGTTGCAAATATCAAAAAATTTCTATATGTGACACGGCACCAGAGTTAAGTTAGGGTTTTTCAAAATGCTGACACGCCGAGCTC